CTGGGACTCAGAGTCCATTGGAAACAGTTTCTGATCCTCAGAACCATCACCTGCTGAGTACGAAGCGTTTTTAGTGGAGGTACAAATCGACCGCTGCTTTTCCACCGTTAGCTAACAGCAGCTAAGTTACCGAAGCAGTTTCTGTTCTGGTTCAGGACCGGTTCTGGACCTGGTTTTGAACTGGTTCTGTTAAAAAGCAACTTGTTTTAAACACTAGCCCCACCCCCAGTTGCTGATGTCAGCAGCTCTTTGTTCTGATCCTGTAAAGAGTTGGTTATTCCTGAAACACCTGGTGTTAAATAAGAACTGGATCCAAACCAGTACCAGGACTGGAGGCTCGATGTGTGGAGGCGATCCGTTTGGTACCTCCGTCGTGGTTCTGGTCAGTTCCTGAAGTGTCTATTGTCCAAATGTTTGTCTGAAAAAGTTTCGAGTCCCGACAGGTTTATAGTAGGTCTGATGAAGACCACGCTCAGGTTCACCACAGGAATGTGTAGCCTGGTTCTAAGAACCAGAACCAGAACTAACAATGTCGGCCATGTTTGGTTTCAGGTCGATCTGGATAAACTTTTTAAAAACTCTGAGTCACTCTTTCTGAGTGGATGCTGACTCTGCACTTTTATTTTCCTGTTTTTATTTCTCTGCATGTTTTATTTTTATCAAAATGCACGGGCAGACTTTATGCTATTTTAGCTGTTTGTACATTAAAACTTTCAGCTCCTTCGGCTGATGGCTGCTGTGATTTTAGCTTTCTCTAATAATCTGAATGTTTATGAATCGTTCTCTCTATTGTGATCCATTTTTCTTTCGTACGTTTTTCAGCATCTTTCTCGTCCCGCAGTTTTCAGCTATTTCAACCAATCATGAATCAAAACGTTCGGCTCTTTCAGGACAATCCTGCTATGACTTTGGTATTGGTGCAACTTTAGCTGTTAGAAATATTTAGCTTTTTCTGCCATTTTTTCTCATAGAAAATGAATTGAGCTCATTTTACATCCTTCAGATCTTTAGAACTGTTTATAAAGTTTTACTGCTCTTTTCACGTTTTGTTCTGCTTCAGCTTCTTTCAGCTTTCTGCTGCAAATGTAAACTGTTTTCAGCTACTTTTAGCTAATTTCAGCTGTTTATTCAGCTGTTTTGTGCGCCTTTCAGATTCTTTTTACTAACTACAACATTTTGTGTTACTTCCAACTTATTTCTGCTATTTTCAGCTTGTTATGCTCCTTTCAGATTATTTCTGCAAGTTTCAGCTTTTTCTGCTATTTCAGCTACTATATAGCTGTTTTTATGCTAATTTTTGCTTTTTCAGCTAATTCCACATTTTTTGCACTAATTTCAACTTTTTTCAGCATATCTCATCAAAAAATATTCTTTCTCCACTTCTTGTAATTTCAACTTCTTCCTGCGTTGTTAGCTGCTTTTCAGCTGTTTTTTTTTTCTGATTTCAGCTGTCTTCAGATAATTTCTGCTTTTTGGTTCTCATTTCTGCTTCTTTCAGCCTAATTGGGCAATCATGTTCTTTCCACTTTCTTCTGCTAATTTAAGCTTGTTCTACCTTTTCAACTAGCTTTTTAGCATTTTTAGCTAATTACAGCTGCTTTCAGATAAATTCAAGTTTTTCATGGAAATTTCTACTACTTTCCACCTAATTAACTTCTTTATGCTAATTTCAGCTTGTTATGCTTAAGCTTAATTATGCTAGTTTCAGCCATTTCTGCTGTTTCAGCTGTTCTTTAGCTGTTTTTATGCTAATTTTATCCTTTTCAGCCAAATACACATTCCTTTCTTCTGGTAGTTTAAGGTTATTTCTGCCTTTCAGATACTTTTTATCCTTTTTTTTCTAATCTCAACTTTTTTTTAATCTACTTTCTTAATTTTTGTTCATTTTTTTAATTACTGCTTATTTAAAACTAATTCAGCAAATATGTGTTCTTTCTATTTCTGCTAACTTAGACTTGTACTTCCATTTCAGATACATTTCAGCAGGTTTTTCAGTACAGTTTATTTCTAAAGCTCCAAGTCACAACAGAAATACAATGTCTCTAGTTCTTATACTTTTCAAACATTTCCCCAGAAATTAAGAGAGATCTCTACAATTCCTTCAAAATGTTTGTTCTTAAAATTGGCAAGTTTTGTCTTCTTAATTTTAGCTTTTATCCAGCCTTTTGCTGCTTTAGGCCTTTATCTAATAATTTTGTGTATTTGGGTGAGTTTTTACTTCTGTGGGGGTATGGAGGTGGTTTTGACTTGCAGCGTGTCCAGCTCCTGGATGCTCCCGCGGCTAACGGACACCGTGGAGTTAGCCAATCGCATGGCCGCTCTCCTGCGGGCACGGCGGGGGCAGCAGCCTGTGGAGTTGTTCTGCACCCCCTGATGGCTGGACAAGGAGGTGCTGCGGCTGGTTCTGAAGCCCACAGACTCAGTCATGCACAGCTCACTGTACGTCATCTCATCTGTGAACTCGTGGTTCTGTGAAGAGACGAAGGAGGAGAGAGACCCTTTTAGGTCTGTCATACCTGTGTCAAACAGGAAAACTCTATTACAGCTGCTGTACAGGCGGGGTACAGGTGAGGGACAGGTGAAGGACATGTGTTGGACTACTGGGGTACAAGTGAGGTACAGGTGAGGGACAGGTGGGCTACAGGTGGAGTACAGGTGGAGTACAGGTGGGGTACAGGTGGGGTACAGATGGGGTACAGGTGGGGTACAGGTGTGGTACAGATGGGGTACAGATGGGGTACAGGTGTGGTACAGATGGGGTACAGGTGTGGTACAGATGGGGTACAGATGGGGTACAGTTGTAGTACAGATGGGGTACAGGTGTGGTACAGGTGGGGTATAGATGGGGTACAGATTGGGTACAGATGAGGTACAGGTGTGTTCGGGTCTCCCAGAAGTTTCGAGTTGACACGTGAGGAACTCACCGTGGTTTTCTCCAGGCAGTGCAGCAGGTGGTGGTGCTGGTGCTCGAAGGCCGACCTGGTCTTCACACACAGAGCCGTGATGTCACTGTCTCGGTCCTGAGAACCCAAAGACACGGGTCAGGATGCTGCCGTGACCTCAGGGAGCAGGTGCTCAACTGTTTCTGATCTTTATCTGACTGAGCCCTGAGCAGAACAACTTGTCTGACTTTAAACTTTGAATTTGGTGGTAAATGTTTAAAATGTGCTGGTTCTTCAGGTTCTGTTCACATGTCCAGCAGAACTCTAGAAACACGCTACATGGATGTGACTGTCACAGCTTCAGGGAGTGTGAACGTTTCCTCCTGATGGTCCAGAGACAGTTCTCTGAAGCTGCAGGTAAAAACTATGAAAAACTAAGATGTTCTGATCTGCAGCTCATTAAACCAAACAGCTGGACAGATGTTAAACTAAACAGCTGGACAGATGTGACCGTCAGATGGAGGAGGAGAACCACACACTGGTGTGTGTGTGTGTGTGTGTGTGTGTGTGTGTGTCTCACTCCCAGCGCCTGGTCTTCTTTGTACTGGAGGAAGGCGTTGGCTGTTCCTTTCTTCGCCATGCGGATTCGAGCCAAACGCACTTTCTGTTTATCAGAAACACACAGGAAAACAGCAGCGTCAGCGCTCACACACACACGCGCACGCACACATGCACACACACCGAGGCTGAGAAAGGAACCATCATCTCAGGTGAATGAAGTGTAATGTTTGCTGCACAGCTCCAGTTTTGAACTTCAGTTCAGCCTCAGAGGAAACTGGTTTGTGTTCACATTGTGCAGTTTGAACTCCAACAGAACGTCTCAAAAACTTTTCAACAGCCTGAGATGGAACCAGACGACCCTCGGTCAGGTCATTCATACACATTAATGCATTTTTAAACACAATTTGATTTTCTTTTTATTTACCACAAATCGAGCACATCTGACGCTCCTCATAAAAACTCTGAAGCTCCTACATCCAACTCTGGAACAACGAGACACAAAGACAAACCTGTCCTTTTCAGGCCTGCTCAGCAGTTTTGTTCCAGTTACTTCTGAGTTCCTATAGCAACACTAGGAAACACCTTGTATCTGTGACTTTCCTTCCCTCCATTGATTACGTGACATTATTTACATGAACGCTCCTACAAGAACCTGCAGATGTTGGATGCTGCAGATGTTGGATGCTGCAGATGTTGGATGCTG